ACATGCATGGTGAAAGTTGGACACTGAATAAAGGATGTCAAAGAACCATCAATGTGTTTGAATTGTGGTGTTGGATAAGAATATTGAAAATACCATGGACTGCCTAAAGACCAAACAGATTTGTCTGGAAAGAAGTAGATTCAGGATGTGTATTCCAGACAAGGATGGTGGGACTTTTCTCACATGCCTTGGACAGGAGAGACCAGTTCCTGGAGATGGACATCATGCTGGGTAAAGTAGTGGGGCAGTGAAACAGAAGACGACTCTCAACAAAGAGGGTTGGTGGAGTGGCTGCATTGAGGGGCTCAAACATAAGAACAATTGTGAAGCTGGCACAAGGCTGGGCAGTGTTTTTGTTCTCTTGGGGATAGGATGGTTAGAAGTGGCTGGATGGTGCCCATCAACAACAACAAATACTGATAGAGCTTGAAATCAAAGGGGAGAGTGTGGCTGTCCTGTCGGGTCAATAGGACACTACTTGGTGACAGCAGGAATGCATACGAGGCTGTCTTTTCCTATAAAGATTTAAGGCTCAGGATCCCTCTCCAGGGTTGCTGTAAGAAGCCAGTGAGCTTGGATTCAGTTTAACATGCTACCTGAGCCCTGATAGTGTGAATTTCCTCCTATGAATGGGAACGTTGGACAATCAATAAGAAAGACCAGAGAAGAATTGATACATTTACATGATGGTGTGAGTTAGAGAAGAATGTGAATACATCCTGACCTGACAAAAGAATGAAGAAATCGGTCTTGGAAGAAGTCCAGCCCGAGTGTTCCTTCGAAATGATGATCGTGAGAGTTTTTCCCTCAAGTGCTTTGGAAACATTATGACTAGTGATACTTCCCCCACCAACCAATCAAATAAACAAACAAACTCACTGGCTTTGAGTCTATTAAAGTTTACAATCCCTCACTGTACAGTTTCAGAAGCTGTCCATCTTTCCAGGAGGGGAAACGTCATCATTCTCCTGCAGGAAGTCTGGTGGGTGTGAACTGCTGCCTGTGCAGTGAACAGCTCAATGCCAACCCCGAAGGCCGCTAGGAGAGCTCAGTGCAAGGGGAAGGACTCCATGCTTAGTAAGGGACATCGATGAAAAAGAGGAAAACCCTCAACGTGATGGACTGAAACTGGGGCTGCCACGATGGGCTGAAACACACTTATTATAAGAACAGGGCAGGACTGGGCAGTATGTATATCTGTTCTACCCAGTGTTGATCTCAGTTGAACCCAACGACACCTAAAATGACAAGACAACGCATGCCTCTTACAGGAAGAGTTCATCCTTGGAAACCCTGTGGGCCAGCTGCATCCTGTGCTATAAGGTCACTGTGAGTTAAAGCGGACTCAATGGGGATACATTGGTTTTGTTTTTGTATTGTTTTAAAATAATGCTTGATCTGAAAGTTATTCTATTTATTGTTTGGTTTAGTGTTAGCAATCTGCTTTTCCGTGATCCTGTTATTTTGGTCTGGCCTGATGTACGTCAATTTTAGGCACATTCCTCCAAGAGTGGGTCTGGTTTCCTGTCTCAGTGTTTTGGGTCTTCTGCTCAATGACCTACCAAGCTGAAGTAGAAGTACCAGCTGAGTGCTGATCAGAGGCTTAGTTACCCTTTTGAAACGTACTTCTTGGTGGTAGAATTCATTTCCATGCAGCTGAATAACAAAGACCCATACGTTCTGGTTGCTTTGACCAAGGTCCTCTCCGAGCTCCTTGAGGCGTTCCTAAAGTCGTTCAGTTCTCTAAGTCATCTGTAACTGGAGAGTTCCACTCAACACCATGGTTCTCAACCTTCCTCGTGCGGCGAACATTTCATACAGTTCCTCATGTTGTGGTGACTCCACAACCATAAAATTATTTTCGTTGCTACCTGTAATTTTGCTACTGTTATGAACCAGGCGACCCCTGAGAAAGGGTCGTTAAGATCCCTAAAGGGGTCGCGACCCGCAGATTGAGAACCACTGATCTAGAGGAATGATCTAGATCATTCCTGGGAATGACCTTGGAAGTATTCTCTATCCTCTGATTTCCAAGATCACTTTCCCTTCTTTTGTTCCTCTGTGAAAAGGGAGCTTCACTTCCTATTTAGTAATTTGTGACTTTCCTGGGCTGTCATAAGGATAAAGGAGGTCTTGGGTGTGTTCTGGATGGTAACAGACTTCCTGGATTTTTTCTTGAAGAGCTTCTTGATGGGTTGGAACACACAACCTTGCAGTTAGCATCCTAGAGTGGAAGTCTTACAAGTTAGGGACTGCTATCATAGAAATATCATATCGAACATGAATAGAGCATTTCAAGTTTATTAAAGCTGAAAATGTACTTTTACATATGATTTGGCATGAATTGAGGCTCTGAGTGGTGCTAAAGTTTAAAAAACTCAGCTACTAACTACAAGATTGGAGGATGGGGTCCATTCAGGAAAGCCTTACAGAAATTTCTGGTGATGCCCTGCTTAACCATCAGCCATTGACACTCCCATGGAACACAGTCTCCTGGGACATTCCTGGGCTCTCCCTGTGGTAGCGTGTACCACATGTGACACCCTGGTGGTGTGGGTACACGCTGGGGGGTGAACCTTGAAGCCAGTAGTTTGAAGCCATCCGCGGATGCCCACAAGGACAGTTCTACCCTACCCTGCCCTAGAGGTTTCCACGAAGCATAAGTCACTTGAGGGCCGTGAGGCTGTTTTGCTTAGTTTTGTTTTGTCTTCATGGGACACCAGTGCTTTCGGTTGTTTGCTTGTTTTCCATTTGAATTTTGTGTTTCAGTTTCTCTCAGGCATCACCACGGGATCCGACTTTCCTGAGCACAATCAGAAATCGGGGAACTTAGTATTTCTTTCAATAAGACATCTATCCATTCAAGTAACATCTATCGCCCTTCTCTACGTTTCTTTAGGACAACGAGAAAGCATGTGTTTTTGGCCTCTCTGCCCTCCCTGTGCACACCCCAGTTTATTGCCAGTAAACTATCAATATTTTGATTCAATCCATTTTTAATGACATAATATTCTAGAGACCGCTCCCAAATAATGTAAATGACAACTAATTCACCATGCAGCATCTCATATCATCAGCCTCACCTCTGTCTTTCATGGTCATTCTTCCAATACTTGAAACCTGGTCTCTTGTCTTCTGTTGACTTTCCACAGAGTGATCGCCCCCATCATTGTAGCTGTTTATTCTTTTCTCACTGAATGACTGTTTTACTAATTTGATAATTGCTTGTCATTTTATGACTCTTATTTTCATAAAAGAACAAATTAGTTAGGGTAAATGGAGGAGGAGCTTGTCCTTTCGCTTGCTGTCCCTAGAGGCATGTCACCTACGGGTACATTATAAAGCAACACACTTTATGTATGCTCATCCCTATTGAAGGAGGCTTGGTGAAACTGGGAGTTAAGTGTTCGGCTACTGACCAAGAGGTGGGAGGGTTGAACCCTGCTCTGAAGGAGAAATATGAAGCAGTATGCACTAGAAGAGATTTTTAGCCTTAGAACTTCAGGGTCACTATAAGCTAGGAGTCAATTGACTTGATAGCACTGAGTTTTACTGGGAGTGTGGATAAGGGGTGAAGCCTTTATATTGGTTGGAGGATAAATTCTTAATAGGAAATCAATGGATTTGAAGAACACCGATATTGTATGCAAACAGGCATAACAAAGCAAAAAAAAATCTTGCAAACAGTAAGATATTGGGTATAAGGTAGTTGAAAATATGAACCAGGAAATCGGAGGGCTTGGCATAAAAGCTGGGGAGAAAGGGAGCTATGGCAGGGCCGAGATGCACGGGCCAGCCTGGAGGAGACACAGCGCAGAACAGACTGCCTGTCGAATTCAAGAAATGTGAAAGTTCCCTGCCATAGCCACCAGAGCCTTTGATTTCTTTTGAGGATGCTACCTCTGAATCGTCTTCTTTTTTTGTTTATTTTATCTTCCCTGATCACAACAAATGCACAAAAGACCTTTTCTGATGTCGATGAGAGAAAATATACCTCCTTAAATCCCCCTTCTGTACTGAGGAGAGGAGACATATGACATGAGCCAGGAACGAGATGTTCATTAGCGTCAAACTAGCAGGAGTTATGTTAGAAAACAGAAACAATTAAAGATCCCAGAAAATCAGTAGGGTATAGGGAAATGGGTGGTATCTTCTTTTCATAGGTGAATAAAAGCCTCTGAGCTCAGAGTTATCGCACAAAGCACCAAAATACCACAGTGTTTAGGAATGTGATGTTTTAAGTTCCTGCCACCCTAAGACCAATTTCCACAGTAAGGATAAATCTATGCGGCTATAGTGCAAACATTGAGAATTGGTGACTGCAAGGAGAGATTATTTTCCAATTATATGTTGGAAAGCCTTCCTTAATTTGTTTTTATAGACTTAAAACCAAAATACGTTCTAACGTGCCTTGCAGGTGCATGTACCCTGCCCATTGCATACAGTTCAACACTTCCCATAATTGCCACTGTGGACATTTAAAATCCCGATATAATCCCTTTGGGGCCATGACCTCTAGAATCAACTGTAGTTAATGGACCATAGTATTGTAATGAACATAAGTGAATAGATCCAGGAACGAAATATATTTTGTTGTTTATCAAAATTTCCTCTGGGATCTAACAAGTCAAGTGCAGTAAGCCCAAATTTAATTTTGTCTTCTAGTGTTACTTATTCGTACTGCCACATGAGGGCGGTGTTGGATAAGAGGAGAGAGAAGCAATCTCAGCACAGGCTTAAGCCTTCAGGCCACTTTCACAAATGCAACTGAGAACAAGCTAAAAAGATCACTTTTAAAAGCCCACCTTCCCACACACACACCCTCCCACCCACGCACCCTTGCCCTGCTCCCAACCCTTAATTATATAGGAAAAGGGAACGTAGACCTGGAAAACAGCACACTTGGTTAGGATTTGCAAATTGTTCTGAGTCAGGAGACGCTATTTCTGTCACCTTGTGCATAGATCTTGCCTCTCACTTTTCCTCTGTCCTTCCCACAGCCATTAGATTTTGAAACCAAGAAGGCATATACTTTTAAAGTGGAGGCCTCCAACGTCCACCTCGACCACCGATTCCACTCCGTGGGCCCCTTCAAAGACACGGCCACGGTGAAGATCAGCGTGCTGGACGTGGACGAGCCGCCCGTGTTCAGCAAGCCTCTGTACACCATGGAGGTCTACGAAGACACGCCGGTGGGGACCATCATCGGGGCGGTGACTGCCGAGGACCTCGATGTGGGCAGTAGCGCTGTGAGGTAATGGAACCACGCTTTTTCTCTTCTGTGCTTCGAGCAAAGCACACCCAGAAACAATGCCGACAGCCCTGCCTGAGTACTTCAATTCTACAGCAGAATGTTTGAAATGGCAGTCAGTCGACTTGACTCATATAATCATAGAGGACAAGGGGGGGTGGGGGGTCTGGGCACAGACATCTGGATATCTGCAGCAGTACTCACCAGAGGGTTGATATCGGACATATCATCCAACACGACACACCAACTGTGTATCTCTAGCATGCAGTTCAAAACCACTCGCTGTTCCTCAGGAATAAGATGAGGTTCCCATAAAGAGTTAGAGTCTCAGAAAGCCACACGGGCAGTTCTACCCTGCCCCATGGAGTCCCGATGAGTCAGAATTGACGTGGCCACATCGAAGGTTCATTCTCCTGATCCAAGATAACAAGATGATGTTCACAGTGTCTGAATAGAATAGGCACTGAATGAATATTTTGATAATTCTAAAACCTCTGCTCTCTTTAAACCCCCAAATAGTTTTCAAAATGTACATGTTTTGCCATTTACAAGGGGGATTTAACTGGGATAACCAAATCTGCTGTGTTTGAGGCACAGTGGCTCTTAGCACAGTGAGAGTTTGTCTGAGAACATGGTGAAATATGGAGTTGCCAAAGCCTGATCATTTGCTGGGAGCTATCATGGGCTGCCATTGACACTACTCTGCACAGTGAGACAAAATCCCAGCCAGCAAAGTCAGAAACCAGTCTGTCAGTGTCTCCATCTCCTCTACTCTGCCACTCAAACCCAGAAGTCTCACTTTTGCTGTTAGGTGTCTCTGAGGAGCTTATATCTCAAAGCGAAACCCCAAAGAGCAGAATGAAATACTGCCCATTCCTGCACCTGCCACACAAACATTGCTAA